ATCAGTCGTTGTGAATACTTCACATGTGAGGATTACAAGGATTTACACTGACAGGACAGAAGACTTTAGTGTAATATTGTATGATGTATTGAGTTTATCAAATCTCCTGTCTTAAAGTTCAACTGCAATGTTTTTGTAGTTATCTCCCGCAGAATGCCACGGAAGAAATCACTTTGTTCACCTGAAACATCCCTTTAGATCAATGGCAGCTGCTGGACACACACACACACACACACACACACACACACACACACACACACACACACACACACACACACACACACACACACACACACACACACACACAAATTGCTTTGGAGCTGGTGACATGGGCCAGTGCTTGTGGGGGAAACAAAGCTCAAGTGAAGCGAGAGCAGAGGGCTCAGTCACGAATGTGCCGTCACTCCATGCTGATCAGTGTGGACATTTAGAGGCAAGCCGCCGCTGCACATATACAGACTCTACAGAGCGGGACGGACTGACAGCCCAGTGGGATGCAAAAAGGACGTCTTTTAATGTAAAGGTCACATATGTGATTATTTTTTGCTCTTCTCTGTGTTTAGGAAAATCCTGGAGTAGCAGGAAACATAAGAATTTCCTGAATACCAAATATGTTTCCGTATTTCTTTATCTGATTAGATCTGTGAGAATTCATCCAACGATCTATAAATCCATCAACAGAAAAATCGATCTTATTTGAACCGCCTTTAAATCAGTGAAAACTGTCAAAAAGTACATATTTAATGATCATAATAAGAGTACATTTTAATTGTATAGCAGAACTTTACGGCTTAATGTTAATTAAAATCCTAACATAATGTTTATGTGGTTATTTTCCAAAAACGAAATAAAATGTTCCTTTAAAAAAATAATGATTTGAATTTAGTTGGTCCAAATGAGTATTTTAAACATGTATTATAAGTCCATTAGAGCTAGTGTTAGGAAGTTAAACAGCCTTGATGCAAAGCTACATTTAATATAATTTTAAATAACTTTTTCAGCCCTAAACGCTTAACAGTCATGTCATATAATATTAAACTGTATATCTTTCTGTATTGGACTGATGGATAGGACTTTGAGGAAGTGGGGTGGACATTTTTGATGGTTTACTTGCATTTAAAGACCAGACGACAAATGTATTTACCTAGAAAATAAATGTTATAGTTTGCTGCAGCCCTACTTACAACCTTAAGGAATTGATATGTTAAGTAGACCATAGCAAACTAGAGTCAGTGTACTGCAACCACGGTAAAAGACCTAAGCAATATGAGCAAATATCCACTACAGTGGAAGGTCAAAGGCCAATGCTAAATGACAGGGTATGAGTAAAAGGGATTTCAAACGGGTGACAGCCCAGAGGTCAAGGTATGATCAAAGGATGAGACAGTAAAACGTTGCCCAAGAGGACGACGTGGCCTTTAAAGAAGAAAACTGCCAACATCCATCTGTGTGTATTTCACTGTCTTCCTTCATCCCCGCTCGCAGTGTCCTTCCCACTCTCTCCTTTTGACTATGACGGGATGCCCTCTTTGAAAAACAAAAAAACAAACGTGCATTTCCTCCCCCCTCCCCGAGGCTGGGCAGTGCATGCAGCAAGGTAAACATGTCCACTGTGGTGAGCTCAGACCACGCGGATGCTTCGCTCCAGGTAACAGTCGTCCTCCACAGCTCCGCGCCCACCAGCAACATCTCGCCATCCACTAGAAGCGCGGAGTAGCCCCGTGTCTGAACAGATTTCCGCTTCAGTGCCGAGCCTTCCCTTCCTCAAGCAAGGACATCCATGGATTAGATGAGGATGTTGATTCAAATCAGGGTCAACAGTATGACCTCTACCTAGAGTACCTGGCTGATATTCTGTCTGAAAGCATCACTTTTTTTGTATGTGTGTTGACCGTTTTGTAAAAAAAGAGCTGTTATTTAAAAGGTTATAACTCATTGGGAGGACTTGGTGGGCGTTATGAAAACAGCCCTGTGTTGTACTAAAGAAAAGGTCTGATAGCATTGAAATAATTACAAGACTCTGAATGCTTATTAGACATTCAAACAGTGCAAAAAGGTATACACAGCACAAAACAAAACAAATAACAAGTAATTCAAACATAAACAAATACTAAATTAGTCAAACGTTCTAAGCTTGTTCATTTTTGTGAAATCTGGGTAAAAATGTTGGTTTTGTGGCCTTATGCTGAGAAAGAAGGACAAGTACACCAAATGGTGCAATACAAAAATAAATGGTGCATGTCATTTTTCTAATGACCTAAAAAACTATATCCAGCACTGCAATGCATTTTGGGAAAATATAAACCTTTTTGCAGGGCAACACAGGTTCTTGCCACCGGAGTCACGTCAACATAGTGCTCCCATTAAAATGAATTAGAATTACGCAGTAAACTGTGATCTTTTACTCAGCAGTTAAAATAAACACATGAATCTTTTAAATAAACATTTATTTACTAAGTAAGTAGATGTTCGCAAATGTATACTGCAGTCATAGAATTTGAAGCAACAATCAGCAATCCTTCTGTTTTGACATGTTGTCGTGTTCTTACACTTATACAGAAATGTTGCTAATCTTCAGAATTAAACAAGTGTTGACCAATGTTCCCAAAAATAGGATTTTGTCCGTCTTAGTCTGTTAAAAATAAATGAAAAATAAATGTATATTAAATGGTTTCTTTTTACTGCTGTACTGGACTCACTGAACCTGGACTCCTGAACCCGGGTATGAACCAAACGGTTACACCCAATAATGTCAACTATTTGTTGAGTTACTGTTATCAAGTTGTGGACATTAATAACAATCTTATTGCCAGTTCGTCAATGGTTTGGCTTTTGAAAGTGAATGTGCTACAAGGATTCTTGCTGTTTTTAGTATATATCTTCATCATGAGTGATTTTACAAGTCGTTTTGGGTTAAAGCGTCAGCTAAACTAAATGTAATGTTTTTAATAACCCCTCATTAATTATATAAAAGCAAGTATAAATGGTTCTTGTTCCTTTTACAACCTTTGTCATGGCACTAGTAAATTAATTTTACACAATATCAAGCTTGGTCTTCAGAGGCAGAGAACATTCCCTGCAAAACTGACGGGGCCAAGTGTGGTGAGCAAATTTGAGCAGAATACATAATCAACCACTGTAACAATTTGCATCATCTTCCTTAAATGCACATGTGATAATCACCAACACGTACACAAATGAGTCACTGCGACTTGATCCTGATGGGCCAGCTTCAGACATACAACGTGTATTTGTGGAAAAATGCATCAAGGCTGCAATTAAATCTGACCCTGTTTGTCAGATAATTTCTTTCTTATACAGTTCTGTAAAGGGTAGTGGCTTTGGTGTACAGAACATTCACTTCAGAGAGCCAATGAGCCTTCACGTTAATCAGCTCGGATAGATGCATTCTTGGTTGGTTGCGACATTGACCTACAGGCCGAGGATAACTGGTGAGGCAGAGAATGTGCGCAGTATTTTCTTTACACCCAATTCTATGTGTCATTTAACAAACTTAACATTGAATCTATAGGGTATGTACGCTTGCTCAGTTGGGGAGAACCGTAGCATTAATTGCACTTCAACTGCTCTACAACGGCATTGAATTACGGTAATGCAGTGCAGAAATGTGCAACGGACAAAAAGACCCGACCCCAGATAGCATCCTGGCTGACAGAAGTAATTGCGTGACAACTGTCAGGCTGAGAATCCAGGTCATCGGTTTGGTGTACAGTACATTTGTGTTCTTAGAGTCCGGCCTATGCTGCATAATCCCGTCTTTCTGCAATGCGTAGGAGGACAAGGTGTGGGCTGATGTTCATTACTTTCCTCTCCGCGAGTCGATACATCTTTCTTTAGTCTTCAAGTGCTCCCATGGGGATACTATGTATACCCCAAGCTGCCAAATACGGCATAATACTGCGAGAGTGTGTGCAGCAAAGAACATGATATGATTAGGGTGACAGAAACATACATCCACATCCAAGACTTTGTCGCAAATAGAAATCAGTAAATATTACAGAGAGTTCTTCTTTGACAACACTGTGTCAATGGCTACACTGCTTGCACCACCCACGGGTAAAAGGTGTCAGTATGTCTGCTTATTTTTCAAAGCCATTGCAAAGAAATCTCCAGGAAGTGACAGCACAAAAAAAAAAATGTCATCCATAGAGCCCCCTTAGGGCTGAAACTTTCCTGCCTCAAGACATACAGGTAAAAAAAAGGAATATTCTATCATGACCATAACTTTTGTTATTGGATGGGTCCACTCTGAGAGACTGAGTGCTGCAGGTCTGAGAAACATGGTGACAGAGGCTGATGTGAGGCTGACGATGGTTGCCGTATCCCTTATGTTTACCATCATTTTCCTTTCACAAACAAGAGGCCAGGCTGGAAAAGGCCAGAGAGCCGGGGCCTGCAGCAAACAGGCAGTGGAAGATGGAGGGGGGGGTTGACAGAGAGTGAAAAGAGTACTAGAGATGAGGGGGAGAGTGAGAGAAGGGAAAGCCAATCGCTGATGAGAGGGAGAGAGAGAGAGAGAGAGAGAGAGAGAGAGAGAGAGAGAGAGTGTGTGTGTGTGTATGTGTTTGGGCTAAGCTGCCTCCAGACACCACGCGGCTCAGAGCAGATCGAGAGTGACGGCTTGCTGATTAGTCAACTCACAGCCCCCAAGACTGGAGTCTGCATACACACACACACACACACACACATACTTGCATACACTCAATTGCATTGCAGTTCATTTAAATAAAGCCTGCTATAATCATTGCACACATCAAAAAACAAACAGCATATGGACACAAATACATGCGAACATATGGGAAAGGAAAGTCCAGAACGTAAACAGAAGGACCCTCATTATATCTAAAGGAAGTGACAAAATGTACTTTGAAAATAAAAGTCTACAGCCCTGCAGGCAGGTCTGCAATGTGTAGAAGCAGGAAGTAGGTGGGTACTTTATTAAAGAGTCAAAATGTGTATGGGGTTTGGAGGGTAGTTACCTTAAGGAGATAGACAGGGATGTTGCTGAAGTCCACAGGCAGCTTGAGAAGGAAACGGGCTGAAAACTCTCCCGTCTGGAGAACAAGACACAGAGGCAAAACCCTTTCAAATCAGTTACAACAATAAAGAGTTTTGTTGTCACAAAAAAAATATGTGTGTACATGCACATTACAGTCTGCAGATGGAATTATTATCAACTAGAACTACTGCCTTGCTGTAGCTAACCAGTGAAGTTAACAGTCATTTGTGTACAAAATGTCACAGTGACTTTGACCTTTGAACATCAAATTGTAAACAGCTCATCCTTGAGTCAAAGTGGACATTGGTTCGATATTTGAATAAAAAAACCTCAAGGTCTATTGTCTAGCTAATGGGACCGACTTTTGGTCACAGTGGGCTAGGCATTGACCACTACACTTCACATGCAGATCTTAGATGGTCAGAGTAAGATGTGTTCTTTGTGAGCGTCATCTGTCATGACAAGACACTGTCATAGTGTGTTTAAAACCGCCTGAAGAATAAAAAAGATCTTACCTTACCTTTATTTCTTACTGTGACATATTAAGCAAGAATAGTACATCTGGTTGCCATTAGTTTGGGTAATTACCACTTTCTTTAGAAGTATCAACAAATACTAACTATGATGTTTTAAGTATTATAAAGTTAGAGAGATTAAAAGGTTAGCTTTCTTTAATAACATGCAACAATTGTTTGCAGTAGGATGTTCCAAATCCTATATAAAACGTACATTTTAGACACACAATTAGATTACACACAGACACACAACTTGATAGCACAATAGTCTTAACATCATGTGCCATGAGGCTGCATATTAGGACTGAAAAAAATGAATGTTCCAAATCCAAAACGCATGATTCTGATTTGTCTGACACAAGTTCTTTTGAAAAATCAAAGAGGAAACCTTATTAACTACAGTATTTGCCACGGACATGTGAATGAAATTATGATTCAAGGTTAGATTCTATAAATAGTGGGGGGGGTTTTAATGGTGGAATGGAGAAGAAAATCAAGCCTTGCTCATGTCATTCCATCTTATCTTAACATTTAACAATTAAGTATTTCTTTTCTCAACTCAAAATAGACCAAGCTATAGGAATAACATGAGGAACTGTCCTCTGTGTATTTTCTGAAACCAACACCGTATCCTGAGTTTTGTAAAATCTAAGACATCACAAAAAGGAAGTAATTTCAACAGTTAGTCAACCGTTGCCTACCCAGCTGTTCTTGCGTCCGGCATAAATCTCCATGTTGCGGCCATAGTTGGGATCTTCCAGCAGACTATCGTACTCAAAGAGTAGCCGGGAGCTTTCACGAAGACGTTGGCATTGATAGTGATGGTACTGCTGGATTAGCTCCTTCACCAGCTGGAGCAAACACTCTGGGTTCCCAGCATCCCATTGGACTAAGTGCTGAGAAAGACACCAGATAGGAGGCATTAGAACAGACGTAACACGTGACATTAATGATCTTTTTAAATGGTAAATGGACTGCATTTAAAGAGTGCTCTTCCAGTCTTTACGATACCTCAAAGTGCTTCTACATATACAAGTCAGCATTCACCCATTCATTCAGAGGCAGACACTGCTATACAAGATGCCACCTGCTCAAGGGATTGAACCGTCAACCTTCCAGTAGACAGACCAGCACACTACCTCATAGCCACATAGCCCCAATCATGTTAACAACATATTAGGATGTTAAATCAATACACTATTAAAGTAATACCCGTAAGAAAATTAAATGAAAGGTAGCCTTAATGGCATCTAATCCCTATGTCAGAATATTTGCCAAGAAATCTTAAAAACTAAGATTTCAATACAGCCTTAACCATATACAAGGTTCTATGGCTTGAGTAAAAACTGCACTATAGTTTTTTTTTTACCACGTTTTGTGTTGCAGACTTAATGACTAAAAGGGGACAACAATTTGTTTTAATTAGTGCAATACTTAGTGGACCATTGCAGACAGCAGACGCTACACAGGCTGCAACGCAATCGCTTTGGGCAATTTTGCACCGTCATTGTAGGTCCACTAAAAGTGCTTGTGTTGCCACTGACTCAGATGCTATTTTAAATATCCCACAGAGAAATTAACCCTTTTTCTTTGCCTTTTGGCTTTGTCCTTTCCCTTGCAGCAGGAAGATAATGGTGTAAACTTGAGTGAGAGTTAGAGAAACAAGTACTGGTATGGTCAGAGTTTGTGGTGTTCAAGTACAGAAAAAGTCTTGCTAAGTGTTATCCAAGTCTTATTCTTTCAATAATGGACCAAAACCAAAACTGGTTGTCCTGGTAACTCAGAGACAAAAACATGGAAAAATAGGGTCAAAATTGAAAGACCAAAGTTACTTTTACAAATTTCAAGTTAATAAATGGTCAAATCCTGATAAAAAAACACTAGTCGAAGGGAACATTTGTAACATTATGGATGACCAACTGTCTTTACTATGACTTAATTTGTTTCCAGGATTAGAAATAGGTATACGGCACTCAAACAGGAAGTCTGAATTCACTTTACAAATACACACGGATATATAATTACCTTTAAAGAGCTTATCATTTTGAACAACCCATTAAGATTATGAAAGACCCTCGAGACAAGAATGGGTTGGGAATTAATAAATAGTATTAGCAGAGTAGGTAGAATATTTGCTAGACTAGAAGTAGGTACATTGAGGAAGAACATGGTAGAGATAAAAGGATTTTGCATGAAAGGGAACAAAACGCCACCAAAATAGCCTATTCCTGACTTCCCATTACCAGATCCAAAGGGAAGGGTTGTGCTGCAGGATTTCCTGTTTCCACAGAGATTTGAAATGATATGGAAAATGATTGAGCCTGAACTGAAACTTTCCTGAAGTCTGTTGCCATACTAATTGATAGCTATAGATTGTTGACATGGACAAATATTTGAGCTCATTATTTAATGTATTGTGTATTGTCTAAAAGGCTCCATGGTGAACAAATTTTTTTCTTCCCTCAATCTCAATTTCTGAAATTACCAAATGCCTTCAACCTACTTACTGAGGCCAGAGACCAATATGGAAATATACAGGACGCAACTCCAATCATATTTAACCACCTGTCATATATCAGTAAGCAGAACAGACCACATGTGACTACTGGGCTTACTCTACCGAACAGGTTTTTACCCTCTTAAGGGAAACCCGACCGTTGATGCGCAAGGAATCAAATGCTTATAATTAATGCAAACATCACTGTGCAAAAATAAATTGGAGGAAACATGTCGGGTCTAATAAAGACAAATGGAATGCTGAGCTCTTGGGAAAAAATGCTTCGAAAGCTTGTTAATGGGGAAGTACGGCACGCAAAGCTAAAAAACAAGTTTAAAAACCGTCTTATTTAGTTTGCTAAAGTGCTAGGACTTTAATTGATACTAAACCGGAAATACTGTGCTTGTTAATTAAAAAAGATTTGTGCGGCTTTGAGTAAATGGCACGTTCAATAAATGGCACTTCCCGTCTTTTTACACAAACACTATTTTTTCAAATTGACATGGTGTAGATGGAAAATATTTGAGAATAAAAGAAAAACAAGGTTTGTAACTAGTTAACTGTGTTCTTTGGCCATGATGTATGTCTCTGCTCCCCTGAGTCCTTAACGTTGAAAGTGTTTCCTTTCCCCACTCATCATGAAAGTGAAATATCAATCTGTTCTACCCACCGACTGAAATGCCAAAATCAATGTGAAACTATAGTTCATTATCGTTTCACTCTGCCTTGCTGAGGCAATCAAGATAATTAAATACAGTTCAATCTTAATGATGAGCAACTCAGAAAAGAGAGCCATTTTGGTGGGTAGCGAGTGGAAGGGAGGGTTAATAGGTGCTGAAAATACTGTAACTATAAATACCCATTACATGGAGGTGTCAAGTCAGAAAGCAGGATGTCTTTGACTTGCATTAGCTTGTCTCCCTGACTGTCTGTCTCTTTGTTTTGCCCGTCTGCCCGTCTGTCTGGAATTCCATATCAGCTCCGAAAGATGGAGAAAGCTTCCATTGTTTTTAAGCGACCCAGACCAAACCCACACCCTCTTGCCATGGAAGAGAGGGGGGGAAGGCGAAAGAAGGCCAGGCTAAACAGAGACAGTGACCTCACCGTCCTCATCCACCAGTAGTTACCAGCAATGCCGGGATTCCCGAAATGAGGGGGCGATGCAAACAAGGATGGGCATTGTCCAAAAGAGGCAGTCAGCACTCCGGGGCAGGAGCGAGCTGAAACTGAGGAGAGTCTGAGGAAGTGCTGTGTCAGGATTGTGACATAGCGTATCAGTGAAACTGCACTGAGGAGGGTAGGCAGGGTGGAGGGATCCAAAGTGGAAGAGGGGGGAAGAAAACAAGCTGTAAAGCTCAGGAAAGTAGGCCAAGGCCAATGATAACAGGCTTGAGACTCCATTGAAACTGTAATAATGACACAGTAAACAAAACAGAACTTTATAATAAAATACTTGAGGAGAGCTGCTGTACTATATTAATGCCCAAATGATACAGTTCAGATACCTGCCATGGTAGTTTTGTTTTCCATAGGACTACTGTTGTTCAGAAAAAGCAACAAGAAATGGCCCAGTATGTACGGACAGGATTGCAGGAGAAACACTCCCTCAGTAATTACAGTTAAGGTTTCCTCAAGCTCATTAGTTAACCTCAGCTGCACCAGAGTTACTTTCTAGCCAATGACAGAGGAGCTGAGCTTGTAGTGGGTGACTTCCAGGTGAAGCGAGGTGATGCAGAAAGAAAGCTAGGTAGACTCAAGCTAATATAAATCCGGACTTTTAACATTACGTTCTATGTAAACCCTAACCCTTTTTCTACAAGTCCATTTGGTATATCAAAAAGATTAAAGCCAATTTTTACGTACCGTATCCGCAAGAATGCAAATATCCCCTATGGTTACGCACGACATACATTTTCGTAATCAGAGAATGTATGCAAAGACTCCGTGCCAACGTCGGTATCAACGTATCAGAAGCTTGAACCAAATGTTATGAAATGTAATGTATAGCAAATTATATGGTATTTTATTAAATAGTTGTCATCATTGTACCAAAAACTAAACATGTTAAACTCTTGGTAGCAGTAGTTTAACAGTCAGAATGAGAAGGATTTGACTTCTGTTAACCATTACTGATTCAAATGTAATGTAGGCCTATAGTTGGGTAATTTGACCCCGGACCAAATTGATGTACTGACAGACCCACGAACAACATTGCCATCCCTATTGTTGAAAAAACTCAGGTATGGCAGATAACAGGGAATGGTACTGGTTTACATATATAATACTGAATGTTCTGACTTTATGTTAACAAGGTAGCACTTGAATGCTGCAGGAAGACATTGGTCGAACATAGAGGGAGAGAAGCACTGAGCAAAAAAGCAATGTCCGTGTGCTGCGGCGTGTGCGTGTTTGTGTGTAGACATGAGAGTCTGTACAGACTCTTCACTGAATTGATTTTATACGCTCTGCTGAAGGCTGTGTGTGCCAAAACAAATCTATGTGTTTTTTTTCATGAATAGGATAAGCCCTGCGGAAAATGTACAGATTTGATACAAAGAAAAAACAAAAGATGCAATAATCAAAATCTCGACTATATGAGAGCTTGAGATTTAACATTTGATGAAATTAACAGAAAAATAATCTAAATACCTTCTAGTGCACGCTGTATAGAAGGAACATTTTTCAACGGGCTCTCTCCACAGGGGGTAAATATCATAACCTTCAACAATACTCGCTGGTTTAATCTGGACCTCATAATCCAATTATTTTGACAACGCACTGGCTAAACCTGTGTCAAGTGAATAAGCCTTAACTTGGCTTATGATAAAAACCTGTCACCTCTAATACGTAAATCACTGATACCTTGCTTTTTGAAAATAGCACATATCTTTAAGAAGCAATGTATAATCGTATTACATTATGATATTAGGATTTGATTCAATATCAATGTTGAAAAACTGCATATTAAGAATATATTGGATTACCAATCCCATTTAGCATTTTGGGTATTTATGTAGGAGTGTGTCCAAGCCAATGTGAAAGACACAGTGAAAAAGCAAAGCTGGTTGAAATAAAGATTAAAGAATATAAGCCATTTCAAACAAAACATATGTTCTTTCCGCTTATTGATACATTTACATATTTTCTAATTAGACAGCAGAACTGGTCGTTCACCGTTATAGGGTTGAAGGAAAAGAAATAAAGAAAATAGTTTTTGATAAATAAATATTAAAGAGGATGAGCAGTATAGTTCACAAATAAGCTTATTTTGTGTAGTTGAATTGTTGTGCTCGTGATAAAAGGCCAGTAACATTGTTTTAGAATGATTAAAATCATGCAAAATAAGTCTAAAATGGGCGGGGAAATGAAATCCCGTCAATTCCATAAATGTAATCCTTAACAAAATAGTTAGAATGGTATGGGGTTGGCAGTCTCAGGTAGGGGACTTGATAATGACTTGCATTGCGTATTATTTGTTCAGCTATTCAAAGCACTTTGCCATGCCTGTTTTGTGCCATTTCCCCTACCAGGCAGGGATGTTCCGCTTCAAGATACTCTTAACAGTGCAGGAGTAAGTGTTCCTTTATATTTGATGGGATGCATATCATTTTTTTAAGCATCTGCGGTGAAACAGTCTTCCCTTTCACTCGATTAAAAGGCTACAGTGATGCTAGCAATGCCGTGAGCCAACTGCAAACATCAGCAAGCCAAAGTGCTAACACTTACAATGCGAACATCTTGATGTTTAACAGTTACAAATGTTAATCTTGTTTATTGTTTGAGAATGACGATATCTGACAATAATCACTAGACGTCAGAGATGTTCACAAGTCTTTTTTTGCAAGTCTAAGTCAAGTCTCAAGTCTTTGGTCACGAGTCCAAGTCAAGTCTCAAGTCTTTGTGGGGTGAGACTTGATCAAGTCTCAAGTCTTTGGTCACGAGTCCAAGTCAAGTCTCAAGTCTCTAAAAAATAAAAGTCTCATGTCTCTTCTGGTTGTAATAAGCCTTCTATTGTCTGCTGCTATCCAGTCTGTTAAGAATACTGCACAGCTATATTTAAGAAATTCAAAGCATTTACTGTATTATTATCACTCCTATATCTATTAGCATACAGTATTCAGTACTGATTAGTTGTTTGTTATATGATCACTTTAAACAGGCTATTGCAATGCAATATGAGGAAAAACATCACACTTTAGCTAAATGCAAACAATGCCAAGGCACACAGGGGATAGGCACTCATCTTTTCAAATATTCAGTTACAAAGCTAGTAGCAAGCTAAGTTAACATTACAGAGCTGATGCTGAGCTAAACATGTTTGCTAACCGTCCATATGCGTTAATGTGACTGACCTCTCAGGGTGAGTTTTCAAGTGCCTGATGAAATTTGACGTTGTTGCACCAGCATCCTTGATTTTAATATTGCAGACTTTGCAGTGTGTGCTCCTTTTGTTGGTGCCGCCGGCGTTTTGTTCGAAGTTTTTATAGTTGAACCTAATTACAAGCGGTACAGCTGCAGGTGTGCCGCCGGTCGCCATGTCGTTACCATGAGGTAGTGTGAGAAGCGCGCACCTGTGTAATGAGGTTACCATGGTTACCATGAAAAAAAGGAAGGACGCCCGTCAGACGTTTCAGAGTTTCCTCAATGTTAATACGCCAAAAATAGAAAANAGGATGCTGGTGCAACAACGTCAAATTTCATCAGGCACTTGAAAACTCACCCGGAGAGGTCAGTCACATTAACGCATATGGACGGTTAGCAAACATGTTTAGCTCAGCATCAGCTATGTAATGTTAACTTAGCTTGCTACTAGCTTTGTAACTGAATATTTGAAAAGATGAGTGAATGTTTGCTTGTCACACTTGTTTGCATTTAGCTAAAGTGTGATGTTTTTCCTCATATTGCATTGCAATAGCCTGTTTAAAGTGATCATATAACAAACAACTAATCAGTACTGAATACTGTATGCTAATAGATATAGGAGTGATAATAATACAGTAAATGCTTTGAATTTCTTAGATATAGCTGTGCAGTATTCTTAACAGACTGGATAGCAGCAGACAATAGAAGGCTTATTACAACCAGAAGAGACATGAGACTTTTATTTTTTAGAGACTTGAGACTTGACTTGGACTCGTGACCAAAGACTTGAGACTTGATCAAGTCTCACCCCACAAAGACTTGAGACTTGACTTGGACTCGTGACCAAAGACTTACTTGATCAAGTCTCAAGTCTTTGGTCACGAGTCCAAGTCAAGTCTCAAGNGCTGCTATCCAGTCTGTTAAGAATAATGCACAGCTATATCTAAGAAATTCAAAGCATTTACTGTATTATTATCACTCCTATATATATTAGCATACAGTATCAGTAATGATTAGTTGTTTGTTATATGATCACTTTAAACAGGCTATTGCAATGCAATTTGAGGAAAAACATCACACTTTAGCTAAATGCAAACAAGTGGTGACAAGCAAACATTCACTCATCTTTTCAAATATTCAGTTACAAAGCTAGTAGCAAGCTAAGTTAACATTACATAGCTGATGCTGAGCTAAACATGTTTGCTAACCGTCCATATGCGTTAATATGACTGACCTCTCCGGGTGAGTTTTCAAGTGCCTGATGAAATTTGACGTTGTTGCACCAGCATCCTTGATTTTAATATTGCAGACTTTGCAGTGTGTGCTCCTTTTGTTGGTGCCGCCGGCGTTTTGTTCGAAGTTTTTATAGTTGAACCTAATTACAAGCGGTACAGCTGCAGGTGTGCCGCCGGTCGCCATGTCGTTACCATGAGGTAGTGTGAGAGGCGCGCACCTGCGTAATGAGGTTACCATGGTTACCATGAAAAAAAGGAAGGACGCCCGTCAGACGTTTCAGAGTTTCCTCAATGTTAATACGCCAAAAATAGAAAACACAAT